ATTTCTGTGTTGTTATTTATTTTTTAATTAAAAAATATACCTGTGTAAATGGGGATGAGATTGTCTGTGAGCTGGCAAAACTGGATATGCATTTGCAGAAAAATGAAATAAGATCTGTACCTCACACCATACACAAAAACTAACTCCAGATAGAACAAAGACTGAAATGTGAAACTTGAAACTATAAAGTTTCTCAAGGAAAAACTAGGGATAAATTTAGGGGCCCTAATATATGGCATAAATAGACTACCAGGCATAACCCAAAATGCACAAATAGCAGAAGATAAACTAGATGAATGGGACCCACTAAAAATTAAATTTTTATGTGCTGCCAAAGGCCTCTCTAAAAGAGTCAAAAAAGAACCTACAAATTGGGAAAAAATATTTGGCAATGACATATCCGACAAGGGACTTACCTCTAGAATTTATAGAAAACTGAGAACACCTCAACAACAAAAAGAGAAATAATCCAATTAAAAAATGGGCAGAAGACTTGAATAGACACTTCACCAAAGAGGATATTCAGGTGGCCAGCATACAGGAAGAAATGTTCACAATCATTAGCCATTAGAGAGATGCAAGTCAAAACAACAAGATACTATCTTGCCCCAGCACTAGTAGCATAGTTCAACAAGACAGAAAATAACAAATGCTGGTGAGTATGCAGAGAGATCGAGACTCATACACTACTGGTGGGACTGTAAAATGATACAACCACCACGGAAAGCCGTATGGCGATTCCTTAAAAACTTGGAATTAGAAATACCATTTGACCCAGCCATTCCGTTAATAGGTGTTCTGGTTACTTAGTGCCACTCTGACAAGAATATACCACAAATGGGATGCTTGAACAAACAGGAGTTTATTCTCTTACAGTTTGGAGGCTTTAAGTCCGAGTTCGAAGTGCCAGGCTCTAGAGGCTGGGTGAAAGCCCCTTAACCTTGGGCTTTAGCTCTGCCTCCTGCTCCCGGCCCACTGAAGCTAGAGGCTTTTCTTCACTCAAAACAGCTGCTGGCTGCTGAGACTGACAAGCCCAAGGTTGACAGGTAAAAAGGCACAGTCAAAATGTTACCAAACCACATGGCAGGCCATTAATTCAAGTCCATTGAAAGTCCCAAGGTCGGCAGAGCACGGCAGGTTGCCGAACAGTGACATGGCTACATGCAGGGTTCAAGCATACCGTAAGCTAGAGACTATTCCCAAAGCTACTGCTTATATACAGGTGGCAGACCATATCCCTAAAGCAGCTACTAGGCTGCTTATGGTAAATCTCCACCATGGAGTTATTGCCAGTCTCATCATGGGGAATAACTACCACCAACTGCCCAGCCACTCAACCAGGCCCAGCAAGTTGACATACAGCTTTAACCACCACACTAAGTATATATCTGAAAGAAGTGAGAGCCAGGACAAAAACAGATATATGCACACCTATGTTCATTGCAGCACTATTTACAATAGCAAAAGGATGGAAACAACTTTGGTGCCCATCAACTGAGGAATGGATAACCAAACTGTGGTACATACACACAATGGATTACTATGCAACCCTGAAGAATAACATAGAATCGGCAAAGCACCGCATAATGTGGATGAACTTGGAAGACGTTACGCTGAGTGAAATAAGTCAATCACAGAAGGACAAATACTATATTAGTCCATTATTGTAAAAAGTCATGGAAAGGTTTATATATGGAAGATAATTTTCTTTGTTGGTTACTGGGGGGGGGGAGAGGAGGGGAGGAAACACTGTTAGATAGGTAGAGACAAGTATTGATTTGGGTGAAGAGAAGGGCCGTGTACTAAATGTGAGTGATCAACATGGTGGCATTGAGGAAGAGAAGAAACAACCCACATGGTATGTCTACAGAATAGAGGGCTATGTAGCTGTTAAAAAAAAAAAAAAAGAAAGAGGAAAGAAACTCTGTACCTGAAATGATCTCTGGAATATATTTTTAAAAAATCAAAAAGAAAGAAATAATAGTCACACCCCAGAGCATTTGAGTTTTGAGGGAGGTGTATATGTTAATAGGGTGACTAAAATAGTTGTATTTTACTTAAAGAAATGGTGTAACTAGAGTTGGTAAAGTGAGGTTTGTGGAGACTGACCTTCATTGGTTCTGGCACCTAAAGGAAATCATTATTAGTCTTTTGTTATAAAGCCTAATCCCTAAACCATGCTCCCCCC